ATAATCATTTAATATTTCATAAAATCTTATAATGGTTCTTTGCAAATATTCCAAATAATTTGTTTGATATTCAATATTTTATATATTTTTGCCCCTTTAATAAAAATATATTCTTTCTAACTTTTTTTTTTCAAAATACTTACAATGCTTTTTATTTATATATTTTTCATTAATGTTAATAAAATATTTTTGATATTTTTTTTGGAATCTTGTTGCTTTCATGATGTTTAATTCTTAATTTTGAATATTTAAATACTTTGAACTTGTGTAATCATATAATTTATTAATATTTAATTACATATATAACTTTCTAATCTTTTAATTTTATGATAAATTTTGAAACAGCTTCTCTAACGTTTTTTTAAAATTATTGGATTTTTCAATTAAAGTTCTTTAGGCGCGACTAGGGAGTAAATCTGTGCAAGGATTTCTGTTGGTTTACTGTTCGATTCCATTTTTGCTTCTATATCTTGATTAAAATGTAAGACATTTTTTTGATTCCACAAACGCACTTAGTGTCTCGATTATGTATGGTTTAAGTAAGCAATTATTTAATTTTCTGTACACTTTTGTAAGCTTTTAATGCAATTTTAATAAACCGTATAATTTCATGTGCAAATGCAACGGAAAAGCGTTACGATCGAGTAGAGTGCCTATGATTCGTCAGTCGCTCTCGATGAGATTATTGTGATTGGTCGTCGTGTCGCGTGAGAGGGTTCTTTGATTGCATAATAAAACAAATAAATAACAAAACAATTGAAAAATCTAAGAAGTTTATTGAAGTAATTTGTATTATTCGCGCTTAGTTTTTTGAAGTTATTTAAATGGAAAATATTTATCTCTTGCTTTAGTAATGTTTTTTTTAATATATTTAAATTTGATCCAAACTGAGGTCAGTTTTTTTTAAATTATCTGAAAAAAAACTTGTTATAATATTTATTTGTTATAAAAAAATTCCATCAATCTCTTGCTTTAGTAATTGTGTTTGAAGAACTTCATGTAATTAAAATTAACATACATTCATTGACTGCTTGTATTTTTTTTACTTTTTCGCTGGCGATATAATCTCATTCTTTAAACAGCTGTAATATCTGTCTTGCCTAAAAAATATTTTCCATTTTAATAACTTCAAAGATTTATAGAAACTACGAATAATATAGAAATAATTTGTAATCAATAAACTTACGTTTATTACACGGCACAAATGTTTAATTTGTTTTATTATTTTCAAGAAACAGGGTAAAATATTCTTCTGATTCAGGCATTTTTCATTAAATCAAGATTTGTACTACTATGTAACTTTAAAATGGTTTATTTATCTATGCCTGTTTCCTTGTTGATATCGGTACGCATACAACGTTGATGCCGGTACGCATACAACGACAGATCTCTATTCACATACACGACGTCTAATCACAATCGACCTGTATAGAAATGCTTTCATGGAAAGCGAATGACGTACAGTTCGCGCGTAACGCATTTCCGTTGCATTTGTATGGATTCACACCCTAGTCGCGCCTAAAGAAGTTATACTTCAATATTAAAAATGGTATTACCACTGCCCTGCATAATACGCTTTTTGCTTAAGACGCATTTTTATCACAGTCCTCGTTTCAATGTATTTTTATTTTGCACTAAATACATTATTAACAATATACGTATTATACAGAAGTCGTTTTAAATAAACATTTTCGATTTGAATGCAATAAATATTTATATTATTGAGATGAGTCACACTCTTACAGCTCCTGTGTAATATTTTAACATAAATATTGTATTCAATAGTTTAAAAATAGTTTACGAATTATAAATTTTCCTAAATTTTTGTTTCAAATTTTCCAACAGAATTTTCTTCTGGCTTTTGGTTTTTGGCTTTTGGCCAACGATTTATGATCCTAAACATGTGTTGGAATTTTTAGAAAATAATTATCGACATTTGATAATATGTTTATTCAAAGTAATTTTTCCATTAAAATTTGGATGCTTTATATTATATATCGATATTACAACATAATAAGGTAAAATTAAAAATTATGTGTATTGAAATATGTAAAGAAAAATATATACAAAAATATTTTCTCAAAAAAGAGTCCTGACAGAAAAATGAAATGATAAAAATGTATATATATATTCTATTTATAAATTTATAATAAACTATTTCATTTATAGACACTTTTAAACATATATTTTTAATAGTAATTGAATCATTTGTCTCTGAAAATTAAAATTAATATTCTAATGTTTTAAATTTAATAATACTGTATATATATATTTTTATTTTTGTCGTTTTTCATTTAAAAATTATTTATTTATTTTGTATTATTACTTTGTAAAAAAAATTAAATGATCATTTTTAATACTAATATTTTTAATAATTTTATAATTATGCATATATAAATATATATATATATATATATATATATATATATATATATATTGTTTTTATGTGTTTATGTATGTTTGCGTACAAATGTGTGCATGTTGTATATTTGTCTATAAGTGTGTGTGTGTGTGTATGTATGTATATTTGTCTACAAATGTGTGTATGTATGTATATATTTGTCTACAAATGTGTGTATGCATGTATATTTGTCTACAAATGTATGTGTGTATGTATATTTGTCTACAAATGTGTGTATGTATGAACATATATGTGTACAAATGTGTGTATGTATGTATATTTGTCTACAAATGTGTGTATGTATGTATATTTGTCTACTAATGAGTATATGTATGTTTTTTGTCTACAAATGTGTGTATGCATGTATATTCGTCTACAAATGAGTGTATGTATGTTTTTTTGTCTACAAATGTGTGTATGCATGTATGTATATTTGTCTACAAATGTGTATGTGTATGTATATTAGTCTACAAATGTGTGTATGTATGTATATTTGTCTACAAATGAGTGTATGTATGTATATTTGTCTACAAATGAGTGTATGTATGTATATATATATATATATATATATAATATATATATTTGTCTACAAATGTGTGTATGTATGTGTATTCGTCTACAAATGTGTGTATGCATGTATATTTGTCTACAAATGTTTGTATATATGTATATTCGTCTACAAATGTTTGTATGTATGTATATGCGCCTACAAATGTGTATATGTATGTATATTTGTCTATAAATATGTATGCATATGTATATTCGTGTATAAATGTGGGAGTATGTGCGTATTTGTGTATATTTTTATAAATATAAGTTTGTGCTTAAATAAATATATGTATATGTATATGCACACCTCTATATAAATGTGTGTATATACAAAATAAGTTTGAGCATAAATGTATATATGTATATGTATATGCACACCGTTATGTATAAATGTGTGTAAATACAAATAAGTTTGTGCAAAAATGTATATATGTATATGTATATGCATACTTTACATTATTACCAGGAACGCTTCTAGGGTTCTCAGCGCCCTCATGCCATTTTTTTTTCTAGAGCCTCCTCCCCTATTATTTTACCTGTTTTAACAGTTTATTATTAAAATTATTAATTAATATTTGGCTTTTGAAACGTTTTACTTATTTATTTTCATGCGATTTATTCTATTGAGCAAATCATAGAGAGCAAATAAATTCTTGTCTTTCATTATTAAACATAACCATAGTCCATAACACTGGTACTTCATGTTGGATTATTTTAATTTAATTGTTTATTATTTAAGATATCCAAAATTGCATCTTAAACTTCTCCTAATTCGTGAGAGCCGAATTGTATGTATTCATCTTTACTTTTCCATCTGTTATTTTAAAGTGAATTTTCTATTTTATTGTATTTTAAAAATATTGTGCAAAGATTAGTAAAAGATGCAAAGAAATTATATATTTCTCGAATGATACTGAAAAAAAAACAACTATATTGAAAATTTCAAATTCAAAGCTTGTGTTGGCGCCCCCTAAAACGTGCGCTTGTATTTTTCGCATGCGTCGCATTAAAGGCAGGACCGGCCCTGATTTTTACTTAATTTCATATTTTAAGTGAAATAATTTGTCAAATCCTGTTCATCTGCCATACACATACTGCTTCTTATATTATTTTAATTTCTGGCACATCCCAGCTACTTTTGGCAATAATAATATAGACATATCATTTTTCTTATTAATAATCATGAATTTATTATACATATTCTAATATTGTCCAGGCTCATAAGTAAATTGAAATTTTTGGCAAATGTCAGTCTTCACTTGTTTTTAATGTCAAACTATGCCTTAAATATTTTCAAGGTCAAACAATGATAAGCGGTTTTTTGCAATTTTTTCCATTTATTTCTACAATCTAACTATATTTCTATGAATCTAAAAAATCTAGAAAATTTTCCGAGCAAACTTCAGGAAGATTCATGAAAATCCGAATAATCATTTAGGAGGAGTATATTTACATACATCATTACAGAAGAATTTAATATATATAACATATATATATATATATATATATATATATATATATATATATATATATATACATGAAAACAAAGATAATTTGCTGACAAATGCTCCTATCATTGTTCTATAGCATCTGCAATTGATTTGGCTTTGTAATGCTTTACAAACATGTGTATGTACTTGTGTATATATGCCACTAATTGAATAATTGTTGCTCAATTTATATTTATTTTTCATATTGGAATCATAGAATAGAATATCGAGTATTTTATTTTTAATAATAATAATAATAAATGGTAGTGTGCCCGAAGGCAGGTCCATGGTGTGAGAGCTACAACAACAAATGATTTCCTTGCCCTTCATACCATTACCACTATTATCTATCCCAACTTTTTTAAATTTTTTTTAATATATTTTTAATAATATAGAATTAAATTTAATTAATTTATGAATGGTTCAATAACACAATTAGCTATTCTTTTAATAATTAATTCAGAAATTAAAATAAATTTCATAATATAATATACTAATAATCATTGAATTATTTGAATTGTTAATTTGTATTTAAGTAATTTTTAATATTAATATTAAATTATTAAAAAAGTATATTATATTATAAGCTCAAGTTTCTTCAAGTGTTTTGTTTTGTTCCATATGGTCTTGAATGAATCACAAAAACTTTCAGTAAATATATATCTACTTAACAACGTACTTTCAACTTCAATTTTACAATCATTTATTGATTTCTATACATTATCTCTTTTTGCAACATAATCCAACTGCTAATTTCCAGAGCAACCTCAATTATCAATCAAAATTAAGGGGGTTGTTTGTTTTTTCTTTTGCAAAAAATGCAAGGTTTTTTTTGTTTTTGTTTTTCTCGAAATGTATTTATCATAAAGACATGCGTTTTTTTTTTAAACAAAAATTACAAAATCATAGAATATTACGAAATTTTCTTTTTTTTTTGCTATCATTTTTTAACCAGGGGCGGCCAAAATCAGCCTTGCAAAATCGATCTTTTATTGCAGTGGTGAACAAATTAAAAAAAAATGTCGATCCGACTTGTAGTTTTTTTTTAATTTGTGGCACCGCATTGAAAAAAGTCAATTTGAGAAAAAACGTATTTAAAGTTTTTAATATAATGTACTAAATACATCATTTAATTTAATGTACTAAATATACACCGTGGTTTTCAAAGATGCTGACACATTAAAAAGGTCATGTGCATGAGGTATTATAATGAAAAAGAGAGCAGCTGGCATACAATAGCTCGCGGAGCGATGAAAAAAACGGTTTTAGAGGATGATACATATAGAGATATGTATATCTATAACTTCGTCAAAAAAATAGATATTGAGATGATTTTTTTAAATAATTCTAAGGTTTTTAGTTTTCATAATATCAAAAAATCTCAAAATCGAAAAAAAAAATAAAAACCCAACAACCGCCTTAAATTTAAAATATATATTTTTTTGCTATATTTTATAAAGGTATAAATGTTTATTTAATGATTTTTTCCAGTGGCGCGTAAAATGAGCGACAGGGTTGGCCAGAGCTCGTCCGCCCCTGCCCCTCGCGCCACGCTGGGGCAGGGGGGGGTCGACCAAACCACTCAACCACTCCAGGTAAATAATAATAAATTAAATAAATAATAATTACCAATATTGAGAATAATCAATCATTTATTAATGTGTTTCTTCTCTCCCCAGTCGATCAGAAAATCATCAATCTCAGATTCCCTAGGCGGTCAGAGCGTTCGGCAGCTGCTGACCGCCGGAGGTCAGTCCAGGACAACGACGAGTGTCAGCAGTGCCAACCATCCATCGATCAACATCAGCAGTGGTTTGAATCCGATTAATGCCAGTGTCAGTAGTAGTAGTAGTGTTTGTGGTGAAACGAACAAAACTATGACGCCGATAAATAGGACTAGTAGTAATATTAGTAGTAGTAGTAGCACTAGTGGTGTGTCGAATATCAGTGTCAGCGGCCAACACAGTCGGGGGCAGAGCCCGTTTTCGAACAGAGTGCAGGGTCTGCAGTTGGGAGGCAGGCAGGTCGGTAGCAGTGCCAGTTTGGAGTCACCGGAGATCGCACAGAGATTGCAAGGTAAGGGATAAGGGATAGATGTGAACATACACAATATAAGGTGTAGTAACAAGAAATCTATTATTTTTCCAATTGTTTTTTTTTATCTATTAAGTCCCATCAGGGATGGGACCAAATCCAAAATTGAATTTAAAGAAAGCTATTGCCCAAAAGCGGCCAATGGGAGGAAAATGGTGTTCCACAACACATCATTAGTGACACCAAGTGATTACCATCTGTTCCTTGATATGGTCTTCCGGCCAATGGGAGGAAAATGGTGTTCTACAACACATCATTAGTGATACCAAGTGATTACCATCTGTTCCTTGATATGGTCTTGCGGCCAATGGGAGGAAAATGGTGTTCTACAACACATCATTAGTGATACCAAGTGATTACTATCTGTTCCTTGATCTGGTTCATGGATGGTGAAAAAATCGCTTCAAGAAAGGCTTGTGAAAATCATCTGTATCATTTTTTGCCAATAGGGTTGAGGGCTTCTGATAGACTCACCAAGATACTTCAGGAACTTGGTTGGGAGGTTCTTATAGTATGGACCTGGCACCAAGCAATTACCATCTGTTCCTTGATCTGGTCCATGACAAACGCTTATGCTGGTGAAAAATTCGCTCCAAGAGAACCTTGGCAAATCAACTGTATCATTTTTTGCCAATAGGGTTGATGGCTTCTGATGCTTACCATGAAGCTTCAGGAGCTTGGTTGGGAGGTTCTTATGAATCCACCTTATTGTCCAAACCTGGCACCAAGCCATTACCATCTGTTCCTTGATCTGGTTCATGGCTGGTGAAAAATTCGCTCCAAGAGAACCTTGGCAAATCAATTGTATCATTTTTTGCCAATAGGGTTGAAGGCTTTTCATAGACTCACCAAGAAGCTCCAGGAGCTTGGTTGGTAAGTTCTTATGAATCCACCTGGCAGTCCAAACCTGGCACCATGCCATTATCATCTGTTCCTGATCATATGGTCCATGGCAAACAGTTATGCTGGTGAAAAATATGCTTCAAGAGAGGCTTGTGCAAATCAACTGTATCAATTTTCGCCAACAGGAATGAGGGCTTCTTGATAGACTGACCAAGAAGCTCCAGGAGCTTAGTTGGGAGGTTCTTATGAATCCACCTTAAAGTCCAAACCTGGCACCATGCCATTACCATCTATTCCTTGATCTGGTCCATGGCAAACACTTAAGCTGGTGAAAAATTCGCTTCAAGAGAGGCTTGTGAAAATCATCTGTATCATGTTTTGCCAATAGGGTTGAGGGCTTCTGACAATCACCAAGAAGCTCCAGGAGCTTGGTTGGGAGGTTCTTATGAATGCACCTTATAGTCTGGACTTGGCACCAAACGATTACAATCTGTTTTTTGATCTGGTGAAAAATTCTCTTTGAGATAGGTGAAAATGGTCTCAACTGTCTCAATTTTTGGCCAATAGGGATGAGGGCACAATGATATTACCTTCAAAGTATAGTTATTTAAGCCTTCAACATCCATGACAAAATAATAGATTTCTTATTACTACACCTTACATGCTGTTTAATTTGACAACATAGTTTTTTTTTTTTTTTTTTGAAAATCTCCAGAATTAAATATGAACCCACATATAGAATTATCATTTTATTCATATTTCTTTTCTACATATTTTCTCCGAACAAACTTTTTATGTAACTTATCTATATTTGAATATCTTTATTTTTATATATGTGTTTATGTATTATTGAACATTAATAATAAAATTATAATAACAAATATTTTATTCATAAATTTTTAAAACATATTCTCTTCTATTTATATTTAATATTATACAGATAATTATATATTTTTAATTATATATTTTTCTTATTTCTATATAATTATTATTGTTCATAAATCATAATTGATTCGAACACAATGCATGCATTTTGTTAGTAATTAATTAAATTTCTTAATTAATATTGCTAATTAGTATGTTGAGATCGAGATGCTTCTCCATATTTCACTAAAGATTACTTATTTAAATGCTCGAATGGTACATTTTAACATTTCTTCCAAGAAAATAGAAGAAATAAATTATTTTTTTATATCATTTGCCTATTGTGGTACAAATACAGATTATAAAAAATAAGTTTTTTATGCAAACATCCATCCAGTTTTTTGATAAAAAAGTTATTGTTTACTTAAAAAGAAGGATGATTGCTCTCACCATTGCTTTCAAAATGTTATAATATTGTTAATAATAATTTTAAAAATAGGCTATAAAAATGTAGTTTATTATAAATTCGTTTATTTAATTTCTTTTCTTTGAATGTCTACGTTTTTTATGTGCACGAAAACCTAAAAAGCCCGTACCACGGAATTCCTGCAAGAAGATAATTTCTGTCTAAATTGGTACAAGAAATCCAAAAAATACAAATCGAGAGAGCATCATGCACTTTGAGGTTTCAAATTTACATTTTTCATTTTTTGACCTGAATTACTGGTCCATATTCCTGCTGCTTTTCTTCCAAGCAGCAGGTGATGCAGCATTCTTTAGGTTTGGCCTGCTGCTGGTTCAGATCTGTTTCTTTGACACCATGAGGCATGCATTGGGTGAAGTCTGATGATATCACCAGAACCTTGAAAAAGGAAAAAAGAAATTTTTCATATTTTAAAAATATACAAGTCATAATTATAAAATCACTTACAGTAATTAGCACAATACAGTAATTATTTCTAACACATACAGTAATCTTTCGTATAACAGAGAGCCTACGTATTTCGTAGAACATACTTTGTTCATAAACAAAGACACAAGGGATTCACCATTGACAACGATTACCGAACTATAGCCTGACCTTCCGAATGATTCCGAACCGACCCGAAAACGTTCTATAAAGGAACATTTTTGAAAACTAGTGGCGCATGGCCACTTCCCTTACCGTAAACTAAATTATTAAAAAATATCTGTGCAAAACTTTGAAAAAATTCGATTTTTGAGATTTTGAAATTTTTGGAAAAATTTGATTATATTATGTTTTGATTTTGTTTGTATTTCGAATTTTTTTTAAGATTTTGAATATTGGCCGACTTACAGTCGAAATATCAAAGCGCGAAGGCGCCGCGTAGTCGTGAACGTGTAAACATTAGTACGGAACCCATATAATCGTACACAAAATTTGTACTTATTATTATAATCATTATAAAATATCTGATAATACGATGTACATATGTCTAGTGTTCATTTTTGACCGCCATATAGCATTATTTTTTACTTTTTTATTGGATCTCCGGAGGCGCTGGACCTGCCTTTACAAAAATTTCACCAGTTGTTCATTTTGTCAATACAAGTAAAATGTTTTTTGTATTTAAATCGGACGCTGCGTTGTCTAAAATACAAGACTGAAATACCATTTTTGGCACTTTTTGCTCCGTATCTCCGAAACGGCTAGACCTGCCTTTTGCCAAAAACTAATCAGCAGGTTTCCTTATCAATAGGATTGATTGCTTTGTGAATTATTCAAATCGGTGGATCCGTGTTCGCGTAATCGTCGACGAAAATTTGTATCCTCACACACACACATGCACCCATTTTTTCTAAGGTATGCCAAAATGTTCAGAAACCTCTGAAACGTAAAGATATATGAAAGACTAAAGGACTTCTACTGTATTTCTATCACAATATCATAATATTTCAATTATAAATCTAATAGTAAATAATATAGTTTAAAAATTCAATAATCGAGTAATTAGAATGTTCTGTAAATTATCTCTTGCCAGTTGTGTTGCAAACATTCCTTGTTTTACAATTATATTTCTTTTTCGTCACATGTTTTTATTAAAAAGCTTCGAAACGCATTCTAAAAAACAAATTTGCATCAAAAATGCCATTGTGTTTATTTATTGCCTTATCATATTGTAGTTTAATGAAACAGGCTTCAGCAAATCGTCTTCTGAACATTTATTTTTCAAAATGCGGCATAATCGGTTTAAAAAAACTATATTCTATTTATGTGTTAGTGCATTCAATAAACATAGTTTTAAAATATTTGTAATTTTTGGAACCATTTTTGTGTTGTTGAAGGCGTTTATTTAAATTTTGGCTAGATTTACCTATATTTATTGAGTCACAATCTAAGCAATTTATTTGCAACTTGAGCCCGATGCAGTTGACGCCAGTATTTCTGGTAACAGATTTTCTGTCAAGCTTTTATCTTAAGATGAGTGTATTTAAACGTGACATATTACTCTAGCATTTTATTATTATTATTTTATTATATATAAATATGAGATAACATAATCACATAGATTTATTGCTAATACATATATGTTTTATGTTTAAATTCCTGACAGAAAATATGTTAGAAGAATAAAGTTAGAAGAATAAAGGCTTCGTGTGCACTGGGCTTTAAGCAATATATAAATATATTACAAACTTACCATGAAAATAGTCACAGCAACAATCACCGTCTTCATTTTACAACAATATTTTCCTAATATTATTATAATAATTTTTATAAATTTGGTCTAATCAATTTCTATCGAATGTTAAATGAATATCATCTGGTCTTTATATATACTTTGATACAAATAAGTTCTCATATACATTTAATTTCATATATAAATATTTATATAATAATATGCAGGGTTTGCAAACATTTTGCGTTGGGAATAAAGAGAAAGGATATCGATTTTTAGGAAAGTTATTTTAAAATATTAAAGTTATTACTTTTATATTAACTGGATGGTTTGAAAGTTACAAGAGAAATAATAAACAAATAAATAAATTATAAAAATAAATAAATAAAAAGATTGTACTGTCGACAGCAATATTTTCTTTGTTTTATATGTTAAAAATATAGTTATATATATTATAGTTTAAATATTTGATAGTTTAAAATTTATTAGAAATTCAATATTTATTTTAGTTGAAGTTACAAATCAATTTTTGTTGTTTGTTCACATGTGCATATTAATTTTTCATATTTATATTTTTGAACTATGTTTGCAAACCACTATATGTGAAATCCACAATTATTTAGTTGCCAACATAATAAAAAATAAATAAATAAATATTATATTTTACATATATATTAAATTATCAATATTATTAATTTATTAAGCTATTTATTAATATGTACATTTATATATTGAAGAATTGACTGTTTCAAAGATTTTACAAAATACATTAGAATCCCTTGAAGCTTTGAATCATGCTTAATACGATTTCCCGTATAATACGCTTTTTCACGTCGGTTCTTACTTAATTTTTTTCTTTAAAAAATTAAACAACATAATATTTTCTCAAAGGTATTTTTATAAAATTTAATAAACACAAGGAAATATTTAATAGAGTAATGTTTTTTCATAAATTTATTTGAAAATTTGTTTTTCTATAAAATTATATAAATATGTTTTTTTATGAAACTATTCATTTAATAATTTATGTTTATAAAAGTATAGTATAATATAATATAATATGAAGTGAAAATAGGCATTTGGAGCTTTGATTCAGTATACGTTCATATCACTATTAGAAATATAGAGGAAAGTCCCGTAACGCCGGACGGCACCAAGCACCGGACACTCTATTTAACACGTATTATTTAAGCGAGTATAAATCATTTTATTTCAAAATACAAGTGAAAGGGGCAGGGGGGGGCACACAGGTATAGTGACGTTTAAGACGATTAAGTTTAATACGGTGTAGAAATATGTTTTTATAATATTAATTATAAATTATGACTTTTTCAACTTGTAAGAAAATGTTGTCCATCCCTTCTGAAAGAAAGAAATTTCCTGCAACGCAAACGTATAAATAAATAAAATAATTTAAAATTTTATTATTATCAAGTAGTTTATTATTTATTTTTGATTTGGTATTTATCGGCGACAAGAATTAATTTTGATCGACCTTGTTTTGCATTTTAGATCTCGCATTTTTCTCCCATTGGACGACGACACGCCTTTGTTTTGTAAAATTCGAATTTCTAAAGTCGATGTTGATAAACTTTCTGATTTGCGATTTATTTCGAAAGAAAAATAAGATGTATTACGTTTTAACACACACATGGATACATACATACTGGATAACCTGAAAATATAGATCAAAATATGTTACCAATTGAAAATAGCCCATTTCGGGCACTGCGGTGTGAAATGGCAATCGAAATTCCCTGAAACGAGTTAGAAATTAACTAATCTCACGGACCTGCCCCAGGGCAGGTACTACCCACTATCTATTAATATTAATATTAATTTATCCATTATCATTTTCCAGGTAATCCATTAAAACGTCCAGCCCAAGACCCTGCAACCAACCTCACCAGCACATCAACACCCATTAGTGGCAGTTCGACACCAAGACTTCATGCCTCCAACCAGTCTCATGCTGTCAGTCACAGTTTGTCATCGAATGTGGAACCAGTGGCCAGGAAGAGATTGAAAATGACATCAGAAAACGAATGTGATACAAAACAACAGCACCTGCCTCTCACAACACAGCAGCCTGTGCTGCTGGACTTGGATTTGAAGTCAAAAGTCAGATTCATCGAGGAGCAGAATATGAGATACTTGCATAAAATTAGAGACGAGTAAGTGGAATGGAATTTCATGTTTGAGTATGGTTAAATTTATTTAAAAGTTCAAAATGGATCTTAAAGCTGGTGGATTATTATTAACTTCCCGAAGGAGAAGTTTATGTTTTCATCAAAAAATCCGATTCTCTAATTTTTTGTTTTCTCGACGTTTTAAGCCATTCTGAATCGAATGAGACCAAATTTGGAAAATGTGTGTGTGTGTGTATGTATGTGAACAGATTTTTTGCCGTAAATCGACGTTTTCTCGAAAACGGCTGGGCCGATTTCAAAAATTTAAAAACCATTCTATGTATCTCGACGAAAACTATTGTTTGTCATTTTTGTGCGAAGATCGACCAAGCCGTTTCTTTATAAATCGCAGAAATGAAAAATTTTTCGTCTACGTTTTAGCCCGCAATTCTGAATCGATTTTGAAAATTCAAAAACCGTTCGAAAGATATTGGTTGGGAATCGTGCTGATTAATTTTTGGTAGAGATCGGCCGGGCCGTTTTCTTGTAATAAAGTTTTTCAAAAAAAATTTCGACGCTTTTTATGATTATTTTTTGACGGTGGATACCATAGTCTTCTAGATCATACTAAAATATTACGGCCCTACGACAACTGGTTCAGCTTTAAAAATTCGTCAAAGTTTGCAAAAATTAGTATCGTTTTTTGGCATTTGTCAAAATTAGACTTTTGATCGACGTTTTCTCTAAAACGCCTGAACCGATTTTAGAAATTTAAAAGCCATTTGATGTATTTCGGTGAGGATTATCGTTTGTCAGTTTTGTGCGACGATCTGCCAAGCCGTTTCTTTGCAATTTGAAAAAAAGTGTTAAACTTTTCGTCCACATTTAAGCTCATCCTACTGAACCGATTTTAAAAAATCAAAAACTGTTCGAAAGATAATATTTGGGAATGGTACTGATTAATTTTAGGTGAAAATCTACCGAGCCGTTTCTTGTAATTAACTGTTGAAAAAAAAAATTAAGCCGATTTTCATGGAACTTTTTTTGGCGATATACATCATGGTCTTATAGAACTTACTGTAATATTACGGCCTTACGACAAGTAGTTTAATTTTAAAAATTCGTCAAACTTTGCTAAAATTATTATCGTTTTGTTTTTTTAAAGTAGGATTGATGAAGTATGTTATTTATACTTTTTTTTATTAAGTCGATTATTTACACATATCGGGAAGTTCATGTAACTTGCCTCAAAGCTAAATACGAAACCAACTAGTTTAGGATTTTTTTGCACTGACGATCAGCGATTGCGATTTAATATTGCTCCTTGCTTTTGCAGCAGTGCTAGATTATAAAAAATTAAAGGCATGAACCAGCAAAGTTCACAAACAATTTTATTTCGTGATTTTTCTAGAATTTGTGCCACATTTAAATATAACTTTATATAACCAATTATCAACTACATATTCATCAATTAATCACCATAATTTTTCTATCTTCTAGTTACAATAAAGATCTGATGGAACTCTATTACCTGACAGTGATAGATGGCAACATAATGGATCTCTTCACCTTCTACCGATCATCAAAAACCCACACACAAGCCTATCTGCAATTTCTGGAACAGCACAGGATCATTTCCAAAGCTGATGACGTCGAATCAGGAGTAGCAGCCTCACAATTGGCAGCTCTGATGTCGAATAAGAGCTCGGCGTCTTCACTTTTAATGGATATTGATAAGAAAACATCGATTTCCAGTGGTAATGATGTATCGAGTAGATTGAGTAGTAGCAGTATGGATGTGTCGTCTATTAATGATGTGTCCATGTCATCGCAGGTTGTTCAACTTAAGACTGGTGAGATAATTGAAACATAATATAAAAATTGGTAACACTTGACATTGTTCTAACAAAAAAATGGTTTAATGAATTTTTATGATATCAAATATTATTTATGTTGTATATTTTTTTGTATTTAACTATGATTTTAAACTGCACTGAGATGCTGTAAGGCATTATTTTATGAAAAATGTGATTAATTATTTAATTTTAATGAATGCTTTTAATGAATTTTTATAATATCAAATATCTTGTTTATGTTGTATATTTTTTCGTATTTAACTATGATTTTAAACTGCACTGAGATGCTGTAAGGCAATATTTTATGACAAATATGATGAATTATTTAATTTAGTATAAATTTTCCAAATATTTGATTCAGATCAGATTGATTTTTAAAATTGCAAATAATAACATACATTAAATAAATGACAAAAATACTCTTTCAACGCTCCTTGGTCTATTTATTACAATTTCGATTTTAAAGTGTACTGAGATGCTGCAAGGCAATGTTATATAAATAATATCTTAGTGCATTTAATTTTGTACCAGCCTGCCTAATATTTCATTCATATCAGACAGATTTTTAAGATTGGATTTGGAATACTAAATAAGTATGTCTTCAGATATTATTTTAGCGCGCTCTGATTTATTTTTTATTCTTACTTGCGATTTTAAAGTGCATTGGGATGCTGTAAGGCAATATTATATCAAATACCATGATAGTGTATTAAATTTTGTGCAGAAATTTGTCAAATTTTCTATTCTGATCAGGCAATTTTTTTATGTTGTAAACATATTAAATAATTGTCAAAATGATGCTTTTCCACATTCTGATCTACTTTATATTTCAAAATGATGCTTTTTCCACATTCTGATCTACTTTATATTTTCAATTGCGATTTTAAAGTGTACTAGGATGGTGCAGGTCAAAAATATGATGGAAAATTTTGTACAAATTTTCTAAATATTTCGTTTTGATCAGACTAATTTTAAAAAATCCAAATAAAATGTTGAATAAATCGTCGTCTAATGTTCTTTTAACGTGTTCTGGTCTAATTTTTATCTGCAATTGCAATTTTAAAGAGTACTGAGATGATGTGAGGCAATATTAGATAAAATATATAATAGATTATTTAATTTCGTACAAATTTGCCAAATATTTTGTTCTGATCTGAACGAATTTTTAAATTGCAAATAAAAATTTGCAAAAAATAATTAAAATTTAATTTTGTGATGTATAGATGAAATACTAAGTAATTTTTTTATTTGCAATTACAATTTTGAAGTGTACTGGGATGCTATAAGGCAATATTATATTGATTTATCAATAAAATTGTTGCTCTTTACATGGCGCAGAGGGCTTCAATTTAAATTTACATTTATTATTTTATTTTTTAGATATTTCACTAAATTCGAGCAATTTGCCTGACAGGCGCATATCCACATCGTCACAAGCTGTTAACAAAAGTTTATCGAGCAGTAATCAAGAACAGATTGCTGAAAAAGCTAAACAAGTAATATTTAGTAATTAACAACTATTTTTTAAAAATATTTAAACTATAAACTTAAAAAAATGACTCATAACTTGCCAGGACTTTCTCTACAATTTTTGTATTTTTTATCTGTTTTCAGGAGGCCTATGTTGTCCAAAGGGTGGCAGAACTTCAAAAAGAAGGCCTATGGTCTGAAAAAAGATTGCCTAAACTTCAAGAACCCACAAGAAATAAAGTACATTGGGATTATTTATTAGAAGAAATGTTGTGGCTGGCGACTGATTACGCACAGGAACGAAAATGGAAAAAGAAAGCTGCCAAAATGGTAAATTGATGATAAACTAATTTACTAAAAGTGTAATAATTATATATATAAAAATAAATATGTATAATGATTCGAATATTTTTTTAGTGTGCGCGGATGGTCCAGAAACACTTCCAAGACAAATCTGCTCAGGCGCAAAAAGCAGAAAAATCCGAAGAGCAGCATCGACGACGCCTGGCAGGTTTCATATCAAAAGAAATCAAAATGTTTTGGTCAAACGCCCAGAAAATCGTCGAATTCAAACAAAAGACGAGGCTGGACGAGACCAGGAAGAGGGCTTTGAACCAGCATCTCAGTTTCATCGTCGATCAGACGGAAATGTATTCAAAATCTTTGGCCAAGGGGATGAATCAGAAGAAAGCTGCACAACCTTCAAATGAGGGAGACGATTCTAGAAATATCAGTGATGGTAAATAAACATTTTATTTATATATATATATATATATATATATATATATATCTTATATATAAAAATGGAGCTCTCTTTCAAATGTCCGAATAAAACTCGAAAACGGCTGAATCGATTTGGCCAGTCTTAGCCTTGAAAAATTCGTGCCAATCCAGAGAAAGTCCAAAAAGTGAGAAATTATTTCAAATCCGCGTAGAAAGTTTACATTTTTAATTTGAAAATTTTTGTAGAAGCGTAATTTAAATAAAACAATGGACGGTGGCAATTTCGTGAAATGTCAAACGCTTTTGACAGATGATGTTCAATTACGTTTAATAGGATGTTTTACGCGAATATTATTTATTTATGATAAATTTGTAGTAAGTAGTTTTGTTTGTAATTTTATTTATATACAAAAACGTTAGTAAACGGGCCGCAAGTGTTACTAGAGACTCAAAATATAAACTTTTTTGATATGTTAATATGAAAATGCACTTTTTGGCATATTTTTCTCAAACACGGTGCTCTGAAAGATCTCATTTGTATAATTATATACTCATTGGTATTCATAAAACATTTTCTAGGTTATATTATTTTTTTTCTATGTTATTTAAATTCAGAACCTAAATTTGGTATCGATCAAATGGACATTTTGTCGAATAACATTTTTCCAGTTAAAATTTCCCAGAATTTATCGAAGAATAGATAGTAATATATGAAGGTTCAGGGTTAAAAAGGTCCACCACCGATATGTCAAAAATCAGTAAAGTTAAGCATTGTTCAACAACAATATTTGAAAGTAGAAGAAAAAAGATGTATAACCAGCTATAACCTTGATTTGAAAACGGTAATCTTTGAAATGGGGGATATAAACGGTAATCTTTGAATATCCATAATAAAAGTATTTTCTTTTTAGTTAAAAATATAATTATTTTGTAAAATACCTTTAAAATTATAATAAGGCTTTGAACCTTTTTGCCTCCTGCCCGTTTCAAGTTACCCCGCCTATAATGTAAAAAGGTCTATAAGGTAAAAATGGCAGTTTCACTAAATGTAGTCAGATAATTGTTCATTTGAAATAAGTTATTTGTTGTAATACAGTTGGTTTGGTTTTCACAATATAGTTTATATTTACTCAAAGTCAAATTGGACCTTTGTGCCTCGCCTTGCTCTACATATATACTTTTTATTAAATTTACTTTAATTCATCGAATGTTACTTGAAACTTTTCAAAAAGCACGTCAAAGAAGAAATACTTAATACATTTTCTATCTCTCCTCTCAGGAAATTTGAAAATTTTGTATAAGCTCAATAGTAGTATTTACAATTATACACAAAATCCAGAATCCAAAAAAATCTGGAAAACTTGAAACGTAATCAATAAGTCGAAAGACCAAAAAAGACTTGGATGGATTATACCATGATTATACTATGTTTTTTATAGAAAGTGTATAAAACTTCCAGTTTGATTGTATTGACAAAATATAGACAAACTAATTGGGTTTATTGTTTTTATAATTATTCATTGTATATAGCATTCAAACGGCACATCCTCATACACTTTAATACAAGTATTAAATATTTTTGATTCTCTAGAAATTGTTTTGAATACACCTCACTTAGCAAAACAACGATTGCCGGGTCAGCTAGTATATATATATATATATATATATATATATATATATAAAGCTTCATTTATACCTTTTATATATCCTTTTTCTTTAGATAAATATATCCTTTTTCTATATATCCTTTTCCTTTAGATGAATTTGTGCCATCAGACCAATCCCAGAGCGACGACGAATCCACGATCGCCCAAGAGGAATTGGCAGCAGCAGCAGCCGCGGCTGCAGCAGCTGCCAACGTCTCTTCTTCCCGCAGCAGTCGAAGTAATACGGCTGCTGCTGCCTCCAAAATAGTGGATCCGGTGACGGATGAAATTGAAGCTTTGAAGAAGGAATCGGAATTGGATCTGGAAGATGTCCTGAACTCTTTGCCTAGCGATTACTTTGCTAAAAGGGCGAAGGAGATTGCTGGTGAAGAGGGCAGTAGGAGTGAGAGCGAGGCAGAGGAGGAGGAACAGGTAATAATTGAATTTGATAAATGTATTTATTAAATAAAGTATTATTATGATAAAGAGCAAAAAGGTGCAGTGTGGTTTTTAAATATAATTGTATATTTGCCATGATTTGCACTGACAAACTATCAGCAATTGCAATTTAATATTGCTTCTTGTTTTTGCAGCAGTGCTAGATAAAAATGAAGGCATGAACCGACGAATTTCACAAAGAATTTATTTTTGTGATTTTTCTTTTTAGTGCTACATTCTTAGGTTAATTGCTATTTATAATAATAAAATCATGTTATCTTTTATAACTAATAAATAATCATTTGCTAAAAAGTTTATATGAAAAATAAAACGTGATAATACAAACATACAAATAGTACAAAGATATTATTTATCTGTTTAGCAAACAATATTTGTTATTGATATTTCATTTTTTATTTATATATATTTTCTATTATATTACATCTCTATCTTTATATATATGCATTTATTTATGTATATATAAAAATATAGTGATTTAGCTTTTATTTTATTAATGTTTATTCTATTCTTTTCTAATATTATCTTATTGTTTTCAGAAATCAGATGACGATTCAGATTTCAATGGCTCGGACAAAGAAGCAGCTGATATTGAAGACACAATTGATGCTGAAGAGAACATCGAAAAGGATGAAGGTGATTTGGATCATAAAGCTGAAATTGACATGCTAAAGGTAAGTAACTCAATAACCAAAAGCTTATAATAAATTCTACAAATTGAACAATAAATTATAATTAATTATTTAATCAATTACCAAGCATTGATTAATGTTCTGCATTTGTAGTCATAATAAATGATTTATTAACATTTGCTATAATTAATATTTGGGGAATATATACCTGATAAAATTATCTACAAAGTTAGTTTAAACGTTAATTTTGTATGAATTTTAGTTTTATAAAATACTCATTTAAAAATCAACTTTTAAATAAATTCTATGGTTGCTTAGTGTGATTTAAATTTCTTTTAATTTAAATCATGATTAATAAACTATTTATATATATATCTACAGTAATTAAAGTACATAGCAAAATTATAGCTTAAAATCATCTACAAAATATATATATATACTTCTCAAATATTATTTATACTATTTCAAAGATTTGATAAAATTTACTTTTAATCTTAAGTGCATTTTAAAATATTGTTTGTTTTATATACAATTGTTTATAAATATTCATAATAAATTGAGTAAGATTAATAATATAAATAAAATAATTCTGATTTATATAAATAAAAATGTATTACTAAATATTAATATTCATTTTAATTATTTTATATGTAATTTCTCCTTGTATTACTATTTTTATTTTTACTTTTTTTTTTAATTTTATTTTTAACCAGTGCAAATAAATTATATGACATGGTTTTTAATTGTGAAGACAATTTTATTTAACCATCTATTTTTTCTAGGATGATGCTGAAATGGATATTGATGAATTAAGGAAAAAATATGGAATGCCTCCAACGATACAACAGAAATCTCCTAGAAAAGATAAAGAAGCAATCAAAAAGCCAAAAGAGCCTAGTCCTGCAACGTCAGGTAAAATATTATCATTTATTTTATAAAACTGAACAAATGTAGAAAAAAATAATTAAAAACAGTGCTTTCTTGTTTTAAATGCTGTAAAATTATTATTTTTTGTAAAATTTGTATTTTTTGGTTAAACGTTATTTTTTGTTAATCAAAATTGTAACAGTGTTATTTACAAAATTGTTGTGTTTTGTGTTGTACAAAAAAGCAATAATAGTAATAGCTTATGACTTTGAAAACATTAATTTTTAAATTTCTTTCTTTTATGTTTATGCTTTCTCTATAACAAAATTATTTTCAATTGTATTATTACTTTTGCCTGGTTTAAACATATCCTTTCTGATCCATAACTCAAAAAAAACTATTATTTTGGAGTTATTTTTATAATTAATGAAAGGAATATAAATTGAGTGAGACAATTACCAACCATTTGTTTATGGACAAATCAAACAAATGGGTGCTGAATCACTACAAATTATTAATATTTTCAATTCATTTGCAAAATTATACTTTGTATTAAATTTATACTTACATGTGGAATTTTTAATTGCAGATGATGAAGATAGTTTGGATTCGATGTCTGAAAGTTCCTTCGGAGATGAAGATCTTGGACTGAAATCAATCTTGCCCAGTGATGAATCTAAAGTTAAAGAAGAGGTAATAATAATAATTATAATAATAATAATAATATATATATATATATATATATATATATATATATATGTATCTATCTATTTATTTATTATATTTCAGGATAAAGCTGATGTTATTTATATTATTTTTCTGTAATTATTAACTAACAATATTAGTATTATTTAGTTTATTTAAAAAAAAAACTGTTTGCTTCTTTTTGTCTCATTAACAACTTGGATTTCGAAATATTTCGAAAAAGTATCTCAAGAAGGAAACATCCCACATAGTAATAATATTGAAAAAATTACATGAATAATAAAAATGACAATTTCTGCTTTATGATCCAAATTACCTTCATCCTTCTCGATGTTTTCCTCAGCATCAATCGTGTTATAGTTACTAAATTATAGTTTAATTACAGAACAAGATAATTATAAATAATAATAGGTATCCAGAAAAAATAAACTTATTTATATTAAATTAATAATTAATATAATAAATTAATGTTTATTATATTAAACATTATAATTTAAGAAATATTAATTTGCCCTACTAAATTTTACATCTGTCCTTTTCTCCCAGGATGATCGTTCAGAATCGAATGCAGACAGAGACCAGGACGAACTAATGGATAATGTAGCTGCCTTGGCTCAGAGTATCCAGCCGAAAGGAAATACTCTGTCATCTACAAGTGTTGTGACACCCGTGCCATTTTTATTGAAGCATTCGTTGAGAGAATATCAGCACATTGGTTTAGACTGGCTGGTGACTATGTCTGAGAGGAAATTAAACGGTGAGAAGATAACAATAACATATAATTATAATTATATTAATGATAGTTATGGAATTGTGTAAATTTGTGGTAATTCAGTCTCTTATTCAAAATTGTTGTTTTTTGTTGAAATTTGATATCTAGCTGATGTACTGGATGTATTTTGTAGTTGTCTCTATTGTTTTTAGATATAAAGATTAATTTGTCTGAATTTTACAACTTTTTATCAAATTTAAATTTTAACAGAGTTTTGTTCTGGGTTTATAATAAATATGAATAGTTTTTTTTTAAATTCTGTTTAAGGCTTGGAGTACATCATGAAACTGTTTTTTTATTGTTGTGAGATTTGTTAATTTGTTGCTGATTCATTTATAAAAATTTACTTATTACTTATTTTATAAGTTTTGAGACTAGAACCTTTCAGATCCATATCTCTAAATGTAATTATTTATTTAGAGATATTTATTTTTTTAAGGAAAGGAATAGTAATAGGTGAGACAATTACCAACCATTTGTTTATAGATTTCTTGAACAAATGGGTGCTTAATCACTACATTTATAATTTATATGTTTATATAAATTTACTTAAGATTTTAGAATTGTATGTTACTGATATATTAATTTTTATTTTCAGGTATACTAGCTGATGAAATGGGTCTCGGAAAAACCATTCAAACAATTGCACTTCTTGCTCATCTTGCTTGTGCTAAAGGTAATTGATCTTATTATTATTATTAACAGTTACTTGTTAAATGCAATAATTCTAGAAAATTATAGTTATAACACTATTATCAAGAATCCTTTCAGATCCATATCTCTAAATGCATTTATATATTTTAGAGATATTTTTTTATCTAAGGAAAGGAATAGTAATTGGTGAGACAATTACCAACCATTTGTTTGTCGATTTATGGATCAAATGGGTGCTGAATCACTACAATAACTTCATCTTCATATATTATTTTAAAAAACTTTTATTACTAAAATTTAATTTACTTGCGATATGGGAATAAAAATAGAATGGTCTAGAAATTTTTAGTGAATTCATATTAATAATATATTTTATTATCATTGCTTCATACTATTTACAATTGACCACATTTTATTATAATTATTTTTCAATGGAGAAAAATATAAATCGACAATATTTACAGTTGGATTATGGAAACTAACATAAATCACAAAATATTTGAGTTCTAATTTTGAAATATTTTTGCAAAAGCAACTTCATTTTAGTTTTATAATTTTTTTTCAAACTATCTACGACATTTTCGGACAATCTACAACATTTTTAGACAATCTATAATGTTTAAACAGAATCTCAACATTTCTATAAAATTTAATATATTTTGAAACAATTTACAACATTTCTAAACAACCAACAACATTCCTAGACAATTTGCCACAATTTTAGACAATTTGCAACAATTTTAGACAACTTGCAACAATTTTAGACAACTTGCAACAATTTTAGACAACTTGCAACAATTTTAGACAACTTGCAACAATTTTAGACAACTTGCAACAATTTTAGACAACTTGCAACAATTTTAGACAACTTGCAACAATTTTAGACAACTTGCAACAATTTTGACAACTTGCAACAATTTTAGACAACTTGCAACAATTTAAGACAACTTGCAACAATTTTAGACAACTTGCAACAATTTTAGACAACTTGCAACAATTTAGACAACTTGCAACAATTTTAGACAACTTGCAACAATTTTTAGACAACTTGCAACAATTTTAGACAACTTGCAACAATTTAGACAACTTGCAACAATTTTAGACAACTTGCAACAATTTTAGACAACTTGCAACAATTTTAGACAACTTGCAACAATTTTAGACAACTTGCAACAATTTTAGACAACTTGCAACAATTTTAGACAACTTGCAACAATTTTAGACAACTTGCAACAATTTTAGACAACTTGCAACAATTTTAGACAACTTGCAACAATTTTAGACAATTTGCAACAATTTTAGACAACTTGCAACGATTTTAGACAACTTGCAACGATTTTAGACAATATGCAATAATTCTAGACAATATGCAACAATTTTAGACAACTTGCAACATTTTAGATAATTTGTTTTGAGGTTATCTCAACATTTTTAGACAATTAATATTTTTTCAGACAATTTGCAACATTTTTAGACAATTTAATATTTTTCAGGCAATTTGCAACATTTTTAGACAATTTAATATATATTTCAGGCAATTTGCAACATTTTAGACAATTTATATATTTTCAGACAATTTGCAACATTTTAGACAATTTAATATATTCTCAGACAATTTGCAACATTTTTAGACAATTTAATATATTTCTCAGACAATTTGCAACATTTTTAGACAATTTAATATATTTTCAGACAATTTTGCAACATTTTTAGACAATTTAATATATTTTCACAATTCGCAACATTTTTAGACAATTTAATATATTTTCAGACAATTTGCAACATTTTTAGACAATTTAATATATTTTCAGACAATTTGCAACATTTTTAGACAATTTAATATATTTTCAGACAATTTGCAACATTTTTAGACAATTTACTAGATTTCTGGACAATCTACAACATATTCAAACAATCTTCAATAATATTAGACATCTTCAATATTCTTAGACAACTTATAACATCGATATGACTTATGATGCTTTTACTCTCCAGCTTTAAATGTTTAATGTAACCTTGTTCGATGTTGCATCAGCAATTGTGCTTCATTTATACTGAATACCAAATCATGGATGTATTTTTTTTATCTTCTATGCATACATATTTGAAATTATTATTTCATGTGTCTTTTTCTATTTTCTAGAAAACTGGGGCCCCCATCTGATAGTAGTACCAACATCCGTAATGCTGAATTGGGAAATGGAAATCAAAAAATGGTGTCCAGGTTTCAAAATCCTCACCTACTACGGCAGCCAGAAGGAAAGGAAACTGAAAAGATGCGGCTGGACGAAACCTGATGCCTTTCATGTCTGTATAACATCATACAAACTAGTTGTTCAAGATCACCAAAGTTTTAGGAGAAAAAAATGGAAGTATTTAATTCTGGATGAGGCTCAAAATATTAAGAATTTCAAATCACAGAGGTGGCAGATGTTACTCAACTTTCAAACCCAACAGTAAGTGGAGGAAGAAATATGATTTTATTAATGCTATTACTTATTGTTTTATTACTTTTTAGGCGTCTGCTTCTAACAGGTACACCATTACAAAATAATCTGATGGAACTGTGGTCTCTGATGCATTTTTTAATGCCCGATGTCTTCCAATCACATAGAGAGTTCAAGGAATGGTTTTCAAATCCTGTGTCTGGTATGATTGAAGGAAACAGTGAATACAATGAAGGAATTATTCGGAGGTTACATAAGGTGATAATAGATTTATATAAATATATAATGGAAGTAGAGTAATAATACCATGGCCTTTGGGGAGACTACCATTTATTATTATAATAGTAGTTTTTTTTGCACTGTCGATCAGTGATTGCAATTCAAAACGTTGCTTTCTACTTTTGCAGCAGTGCTAGATTATAAATAAAAACTGTAAAACGTTTTTGAGGCATGGACCAGCAAAAACCATAAATACCTTTTATGAATTTTCTAGAATCCAAGCCACATTTATATTTATATAAACAATAATTGTATATTTATACATATATATTTATTGTTTACAATATAATATTTATTTATTTACAATATATGTTTTATGTTGTAGGTTTTAAGGCCTTTTTTACTTAGAAGGTTAAAATCAGAAGTTGAAAAACAAATGCCTAGAAAATTTGAACATGTGGTTCTGTGTCGACTGTCTAAAAGGCAGAGGTTTTTGTACGATGATTTTATGTGCAGAGCAAAGTTAGTATTATTAATTTAATACTATTATTTTCATTATTCTTCTTATTATCTACATTTATTTTAATATTTTATCTTTTTCAGGACGAAAGAAACACTAGCTTCAGGAAATTTGCTGTCCGTTATAAACGTTTTGATGCAACTTCGGAAGGTGTGTAACCATCCAAATTTGTTTGAAACTAGGCCGACTATATCTCCGTTTCTGATGCCTGGTTTAGTCATCAGGATACCCTCTTTGGTCTATGGTGCTTTGGAATACGATCCAATGAATGTGAGTAATAATAAAAATATTTTTTACAAAATACATTCTAAAATTTATTATACTTATTTAGCATATTTTAATGCAGTAATTTTGTTGGCTTATTGAAGTATTAAATAAAAAGCCTAATTATTTAATTATTACATATATTTTTTACATTGAGATCTGAACTAGGGAGAGCTAGCCTGGAAAGATAAAAATATTATACATACAATTTATAACATTCAGATTTCTTAGATTATTTGCATACATCATTTCCAGACAATTTTTTTATACAATTTAGAACATTTTCAGATTATTCACACAATTTTCAAACAATATACATCATTATCAGACTATTCACACAATTTTTAGACTCTTACAACATTTTCAGACAGTTTATAATATTTGTAGACAATCTCACATTTGCATTCAATTTACAACATCTCTACTTCATTTTTAGATCATCCACTACTTTTTTAGACATTTGAATACATTTTTAAACCCTCTATTAAAATATCTGTTTTACAGTTTTATAGTATCTAATATATTTTTAGATAATTAACTATTTTTTCTCACTATTTTCTGGATTTTTTCTGGAAATTAACTATATTTTCAGATAATTTACAACTGTTATATCCAATTTACAATATTTTAAGATAATCTACTACATTTTTATTCTATTTGCAACTTATTTAGACTATTACTACATTTTTAGACTATAACCTCATTTTTAGACTATCTACAACTATTTTATTCAATTTACAACATTTTCAGACCATCTATATTATACATTTTTATACTATTACAACTATTTTATTCAATTTACAGCATTTTCAGATCATCTACATTATACATTTTTAGATTATTACAACTATTTTAATTTCATTACAACATATTCAAACTATCAATGACATTTTTAAACCGACAACAGCATTTTCAGACTATCTACATTCTACATTTTCAGACTATCTACATTCTTCAACATTTTTAGACTATTACAACTATTTTATTCAATTTACAACATTTGTAGACTATTACAACTATTTTATTCAATTTACAACATTTTTAGACTGTCTAAATTCTACAACATTTGTAGACTATTACAACTATTTTATCCAATTTCCAACATTTTCAGACCATCTACATTATACATTTTTAGACTATTACAACTATTTTATTCAATTTACAACATTTTTAGACTATTACAACTATTTTATTCAATTTACAACATTTTCAGACCATCTGCATTATACATTTTTAGACTATTACAACTATTTTATTCAATTTACAACATTTTCAGACCATCTACATTATACATTTTTAGACTATTACAACTATTTTATTCTATTACAAGATATTCAAACTATCAACGACATTTTTAAACTGACAACAACATTTTCAGACTATCTACATTCTACATTTTCAGATTATCTACATTCTTCAACATTTTTAGACTATTACAACTATTCTATTCAATTCACAACATTTTCAGGATATCTACAACATTTCAGACAATTTTATTATTTTCAGATGATTTATAACTATTTACAGACTATCCACGACATTTTCAGACAACTTACTTTATTTTTTTTCTTTTATATTTATTTATTTATTTATATTTTGTAACATAAAGTAATTCTACAAGATTAATTTGATGTTATTTGTTATCCGGTTAAGAAAATAATTTAAACATTTAAAAATTATTTAGTAAATCCTTTCAGATCCATATCTCTAAATGCAATTATATATTTTAGAGATATTCATTTATTTAAAGAAAGGAATAGTAATCGGTGAGACAATTACCAACCATTTGTTTATGGATTTCTCAAACAAATGGGTGCTGAATCACTACAATATATACATCTTTATTTATTATTCAGAGAAAAAAATTAAGTAAAATCTAATTTATAAATTAATAATATTAAAACTGATTGATCTGATTAACAAATAAGATGCTTGTTGACTTAAAATAAGATTTTTTTAAATCTAGAATTTTATTAATTGATTATTCAGCTTTGTAGAACCTTCTAATTAACATATTACTTCTTTATATTTTTATCATTAGTATAAGTCCACTTAATATTCTATTTCATATTTCTATTTCCAGCAAGTCGATCTCTGCAGCATAAACATGTCCCTCCTGTCCAACGAGACCACCATATCAGCTTTTGTAGCCCACCGAATGTCCAGACTTTGCACTCCCAGGAAACTTATAGAAGAGATGCCAATGCCAACGCAGCAGCCGGTCGAAATAAAAGCTCCTGCTGCTCCTTACAGGCTATTTTTTAGGGTTTTGCAGAGGGCGCACCAGGAGAGATTAGAGAAACAAATCGTTCATAATGAAACTGTTGCTGTTGGCACCAGTCCGGCTGTTAAGATGATCAAACAGGATAAAGGTAAGATAAATGGAACAAAAAAATTTTAGAAATGAATTGTAACAAAATAATATGTAATGATGCAAAGTAACTTAGGTGTATTTTGTAATTTTTTTGGTTTCTTGTTGCAGATGAACCAATAGACAACAGAATACTTAGAGGTAAATCAAATTATTATTATTAAAATTATTATTTTAATCTATATAATATATATATTAGAGCTTCTTCAATATTTTCATTACACTGATTACATTTTAGTTAATATTTATTTTTATTTATTTATTTTAGAAGAACACTTGTCAGGAATTGCTGCAGCAGTAAAACTTGCAAAAAGAAAAAATGGTAAATAATGATGCATTTATAAATTACTTTTGAAACATGTATTATTTTATTAATTAATTTTATTTATCATTTATTCTCAATCTACTTAATAATCGATTCTTTTAGCTGGAAAAATTTATCTAAATCACATTCGAGGAACAGTGAGATTACATCAGGTGTGTATAAATATTGACTTCATTACCTTATTTTATTTTCATCAACAATTTGTTTATATTTTGGTAAATTCTTATTTTGCAGTATTTATATTTATTTATTTATTTATTAATTTTACAAGCCGTCGGTATAATATTTAATATTATAATAATGCTTAAGTCAATATTTTATAGGTTTAATATAATTTAATTAATTATTAGCTATTTTATTACTTAATTTATTTACTATAAACTTATTTATATTTAGTTAATTATAATTATTTTTAAATATAACTAGTTTGTTTGTGGCAAGTATTTTTTAAAAATTTAATAAGTATTTTAATAAGCTTTAAAATACTTTTACAATATTAACAAATTTTTAGGTTATTTTATGATATTTTAACAAATTTAAGTGTCTTATATTATTGTAATTATTATTATTATTATTATTAATAATAATATTATCATTATCATTTTTATTATTATTGTTAAATATTTTTACATTTTTTTTTTCTTTTACAAATTTTTAGGTATTTTGATGAAGGAAATATTTTGTATCACAATTTTTAAGTGTTTTTAAAATATAGGTTTTTGGTTAACTAATTATTAAGTTTTTTTAACAATAACAGTCAAATAAAAAATTAAAATTTTGTTTCATAATTTTAAAGTGTTTTAAATTATAAGTTTTTAGTTAACTAATAATAATCATAATAACTAATAATCATTAGTTTGAAGTCACATATGTGTTAATCACTCCTTAGTTGCTCCAATATACTTCTACAAATTACTAATTCTATCAATTCTTTCTATTTCAGTCTTCTCCTGATTCATCAAACCAGTCACCGAACAACACAACTCCCAACAATGGTTTGGCATCAGGTTGCACAACCAGTCCATCAGCTGTTAACAATGGCGGTACCCCAAATAGTAATAATACCAAAAATGAACACAGTTCTGCAATTTTAACTGCAGCTCTGGTGCAACAAGTGAGGCAGATGAGTCCGTCCAAAAACAGTGGCAGGAGTAAGAAAAGTAAGACTAAGAGGCTTGATGAGGAGGTTGTCAGATCCGAGTTCTTCTTGGTGAGTGGAAATTGAATCTTGATATAATTTAAATTTGTTGAAGTTCAAATTTTATTATTTATTCTTTTCTTGCAGAGTGATAGGGAGAATCAGAAGACAATCCGTCGCAAAAACCGTCTATCCTGGCTCCATTACGTCAACAGGCGAAAATGTCGAGCTTATCCGGTCTATGGAGAGGATCTTCGTTTGGCTTTCGACACTCTGAGGTCAAACAATCTTTATAAAGTAGCCATAGTCTCCAAATCTCATCAGGACAGGAGCAGGTCAAGAAATAGCAGGAAGCAACGTACAGAAAGACCCACAAATTGGCTTTGCGACGGATATGTTAATTGCATAACAGCAGTTGATAGCAAATTGGATTTGACACTCAAATCCTGGATCAGGAGTTTTGAAGATCGGGCCAATGAGATAATTGATTATTGCCAAAGGTAAAGGACATAATATTTCATATATCTTCTATAATGTAAACAATTTGATTGATATGATAGGAGAAATATATTTTTCTCCTATCATATGAAAAGAAAATGGGATTAAGAAATATTTAGATAAATTTGCACTGAATGATTATTAGCAATTGCAATTTAATATTGCTTCTTGCTTTCGGAGCAGTGCTAGATAATAATTAAGGCATGAACCGACGAATTTCACAAGGAATTTATTTTTGTGATTTTTCTTTTTAGTGCCACATTTTTTAAAAATAAATTATTTATTTATTTATTTAAATATATAGCCCACAGATTTCTTCCAAGAGGACTCAAAAATACAATTATTTTACATAATAAACAACAATTAAAATATATACAAAATTACAATATATAGTTATTAACATAAAATGCTTAACATAAAATGACATATAATGCAGAATGTAACAATATTATTTATAAACAGAATAAGATAAAATAATGAGATATTTGAAAAGAAAATAAAAAGGTTAACTTGTGTAGATGGAGAGATTATTTAATTAGGTGAAGTGTTGTGAATATCTATTTCATTATTAATTAAGTTAAAGTTAGAGGACATAAGTAAAATGGCAAATTTAAGAGAGAATTAGATTTAGGAGTAGGATAATTGAAAAATAATTGTGAATGCATAGATAGCTTTGGAACATTAAAGGATAGTTGATTAAGAATAAGAGGGCAGTCTATAGAATTATTGCAAAGTTTAAATAAGAACATAATTGTACAGATAAATCGTCGTGAGGCAAGGGAAGAAATACCAAATTCTTTTAGTAAAGTGTTGTGGTCAAAGCCACATTCAGGGTAAATTTTATATGTTTTATAATAAGATATTTCAGAAATTTCGCTGAACCTTCTTTATCGCATCAGTGTTGTTGATTTGATGAGGATACCAAATAATCGAACCATATTCTAATTTTGAATGTACAATAGAATAGTACATGCAAAGAAGTGCATTGTTAGAATTGAATTGTTTACAATTTCTCAGTATCAAACCTAAAGATTTATGTGCTCTATTACAAATATCAGTTATATGATCTGTGAAAAACAAACCAAAATCAAATAAAACTCCTAAATCTGAAATTTTATTACATCTATCAATGCTGGTGTTAGAAATTTTATAATCAAAATGTATTGGAACGCGCTTATGTGAAAAACTAAGAATCTTGCACTTTGCTATATTTAAATGTAATTTGTTATAGACACACCAAGAGTGGAAAGAGTCAAGTTGAGACTGTAATAATAAGCAGTCATCAATAGAATTTATTTTGAGATATAATTTGAAATTATTTGCAAATAATAAATGTGGACAGCTAATAATATCAGATATGTCATTAATAAAAATAATAAATAGTTTAAAACATTCATATTGTTAGAAATTGTGGTGATGAGTCCTGACGAACTCAAAGAAAACAACTTTAATAAAATTTATGGTTCTGAAGAACCGTTACCGTTATACCTTTATTACCTTGATTACTTTTCAAAAAGCTCTTCAGGTCGCACCGTTTGCATTGCTATGTTAAAATTTTAACATATGGTAGTTAATAGCACGTGCTGTAACTCCTCAAATGAGTAAATAAAGTAATTAGTAAAAAATTGATGCCACTTACACCTATTTTCTTCTTCCAGTTACGTCATGTTTGTCCAGCCAGCCCTTGCCCTCAGCACCCAGGTCATGGTGTCCCACCCATCTCCATCTAGACTGAATCAAGAAAGACTCTTCGAGTCCTCTTTGACACCTCTTGCCAAAAAATCATTGGTGGCTCTGCATCCAATACAGTCAGCAGGAGCTGTCAAGTTTCCTGAGGCTCGTCTGGTGCAATACGATTGTGGAAAATTGCAAATTTTAGATGGATTGTTGAGGAAACTGAAGAGGGAAAGTCATAGGGTGCTGATCTTCACACAGATGACCAGGATGTTGGATGTCTTGGAAGCATTCTTGAACTATCATGGACATGTTTATTTGAGGCTGGATGGTACCACTAAAGTTGATCAGAGACAGGTAAATGGTAGACTGGGATTTATACATTTTTACATACAGTTTAATACTAATCATGTGTCATTTTCCCCCAGGTTCTTATGGAAAGATTCAACAACGACAAGCGCATTTTCGTTTTCATTCTATCAACCCGATCAGGTGGTGTCGGTGTCAACCTTACAGGTGCGGACACCGTCATCTTTTACGATTCGGATTGGAATCCCACGATGGACGCTCAGGCTCAGGATCGTTGTCACAGGATAGGACAGACCAAAGATGTTCACATCTACAGACTTGTCAGCGAGAAGACAATCGAGGAGAATATTTTGAAAAAGGCCAACCAGAAGAGGCTGCTCGGCGATTTGGCTATCGAGGGCGGCAACTTTACGACTGCATACTTCAAATCGGTAAGGATAATAGATATATGTGTATTATTAAAATAATATGTATCATTTTTAACTAAACATGAACACAGGAAGGAAGAAAAATAGTAATATATTGAATATTTTAGATGATGTTTAAAGAATTCAGCAAACACTTTTGTTTGTCTTCTTACTTAAATTAATGTTTTCTTCGTTTTTTTTTCAGCAAAACACCATTCAGGATCTCTTTGCTGTTGACTCAACCCAGGATGATGCTTCTCAAAGGATGGCAGAGATTTTGGAGCAGAATAAGCAGAGGATGGAAAAACTGTCTAAGAGTGATTCAGCTACGGGTTTGCCTTTGGAGAAGGTAATTAATTAACCATTAATATCTTAAAGAGAAATTTATTTCTTGACAGAAAATCTAATTTTATAATTTTATATTCATAGTTATTCTGATTTGTTCATCCTTAAAACAATTGTGAGTATTTATTATCCATTTTCCTTTCCAGACCGCTGCAGGAGCCCTGGAGTCTGCGATGAACCAATGCGAGGACGACCAGGACGCGATGGCGGCGAAAACTGCGACCGCCGAGATGTCTGCTGATCTGGAGGAGTTTGACGAAAGCATTCCAATAAATCAAGAAAACAATGAAGGATTGAGCAAGGCTGAAATTGAAGTACGGAGGCTTTTGGAACAGGTAATAATTGATATAATTTCAATATGGGTGCAAAGAAGTTTTTAACTTCCCGAAGGAGAAGTTTATGTTTTCATCAAAAAATCCGATTCGCTAATTTTATGTTTTCTCGACGTTTCAAGCCATTCTGAATCGAATGAGACCAAATTTGGAAAAAGTATTGTGTGCGCGTGTGCGTGTGCACCAACAGATTTTTTGCCGTAAATCGACGTTTTCTCAAAAACGGCTGGGCCGAGTTCAAAAATTTAAAAGCCATTCGATGTATCTCGATGAGGACTATTGTTTGTCAGTTTTGTGCGGCGATCGGCCAAGCCGTTTCTTCGTAAATAACAGAGAAGTGAAAAGTTTTTCGTCCACGTTTTAGCCCGCAATTCTGAATCGATTTTGAAAATTAAAAAATCGTTCGAAAGATATTGGTTGGGAATCGACCTGATTAGTTTTTGGTAGAGATCGGCCGGGCCGTTTTCTGTAATAAAGTTTAAAAAAAAAAAAAATCGACGATTTTTATGATTATTTTTTTGACGGTTGATACCATAGTCTTCTAGATCATACTAAAATATTACGGCCCTACAACAACTCGTTTAACTTTAAAATTCGTCAAAGTTTGCAAAAATTGGTATCGTTTTTTTGGCATTTGTCAAAATTAGACCTTTGATCGACGTTTTCTCAAAAACGCCTGAACCGATTTTAGAAATTTAAAAGCCATTTGATGTATTTCGGTGAGGACTATCGTTTGTCAGTTTTGTGTGACGATCTACCAAGCCGTTTTTCTTTGCAATTTGAAAAAAAGTGTTAAACTTTTCGTCCACATTTAAGCTCATTCTATCGAACCGATTTTAAAAAATTAAAAACTGTTCGAAAGATATTAGTTGGGAATAGTACTGATTAGTTTTAGGTGAAAATCTACCAAGCCGTTTTCTTGTAATTAACTGTTGAAAAAAAAAATTTAAGCCGATTTTCATGGAACTTTTTTTGGCGATATACATCGTGGTCTTATAGAACTTACTGTAATATTGCGGCCTTACGACAAGTAGTTTAATTTGCTAAACTTGTCAAACTTTGCTAAAATCATTATCGTTTTTTTAAAAAGTAGGAATGATGAAGTATATTATTTACACATTTTTTTCTTGATTAAGTCGATTATTTAAACATATCGGGAAGTTCATGTAACTTGCCTCAAGGCTAAATACCAAACCGACTAGTTGTATGATGTATTTATACTGTTTTTTTTTTCAGTTGAATCCTTTAGAAAAATACGCGATGAATTTCCTAGAACAGCACGACGGCGGTTGCTTCTCCGCGGAGCAACTGGCTTTGGCTGAAGCAGAAATTGAGGAAAAACGTTTAGAATGGGAAAAAAATCGTCTGGAAGCCCTGAGACAGGAGCAGATGGAATTGGACAAACGGAATGCCCAAGACGATGAGAACTATCAGAACTCACCCTATTCAGCAAACGATTTGACGTATCCGCGAGATGATGCTTTGAATCAGGTTAATGAAACAACAATTCTTCTAAGATTGGTAGAAAGAGGAATAGAGTTAGATTGAAGAGGAAGTTGAGGAAGAAAGCTAGAATTAATACCAATGACACTGTCGAATCAACAGTAAACGACGACAGTAATGTGTCGACATTGAATGATGACTCAAAGTCCGCGATGGACGCATCAGACGATGATTTGCCAGTGTCATCATTTAGAAATAGCAGCGTTGTCGAAAACAACACGTCCGATTCTAAACCAAAAACTTTAACCAAACTCATAAATTCCGATGTCAACAGTCCCAGGACGCGTTCGACAGGTAAAATCCCTTTAAACCTTTGACTTATAGACGTCAGTCCAATCCTGCCAGGTTGTGAAACTATCGTAAACCAAGTGACAAAGAACGGTCCCGGTAAATTAAAA